TAACTTTATTATTTGCAAAGGAAAACAAGTGTATTCAGAGTAAAAGATGTGTAACAAACTCACCTGTGGCCAGTCTCCATTGAGCAGTTGCTCATCAATAAAAAACTGAACTCCTCTCTCAATAGCCTGCTGGTCAGGATGTCTGTTAAACAAAATAATTTTTTATTTTCTTCAGAATATCATAACAACTCCCGACCAAAACGCACCCTGGACAAAGTGTGAAAGAAAGCATGTGTTGGTAAACACCCCAAAGCTTCACCTGACAGCCATGAGTCCTAGCAAAGCCCAGGAGGTGTTGTGGATCTGAGCAGTGCTACTCTGGACGTAGCGCCGCTGCTTACACGACTCAAAGTCCTCCCCCCAGCCTCCGTCTGACATCTGTCGGTCCAGCAGGAACTGACAAGCCTTCTGCACCTCGTTAGGCACCTCCCTGATTACAGAGGAAGCATCAGACTCATTCTGCTCTGCAGGTGAAGTCCTGATTTGTTCAGGAGAACTGGCTGTTATTGAACACGTTCTTCGGTCTTCTTACTCGTTCTCATAAGTGTGATCCATGCAGGCGAAGGCTTCGAGGCCAAACCAGGTTCCATACGTGAAACACACTCCCCAGGACCTGAGGACAAGCAGAACCAGACTGAGTGAGACCTGCTAGTTAGTTATCGGGTGGTAAAACACCAAGTCCAGGCTCACCCTTCCCAGGATCCATCAGGTCTCTGCTTCCTCCTGCAGAACTCCAGACCTTCTCTCAGAGTGGATCTGAAGAGGAAATAATTGGTTTCTTAAAATGTAAGAAGTCAGAGACTGGTTCTGTTCTGGGCATCAATAAGCAAAACAGAAAACTGTTGTGTGGTCAGAACCCTTTCGGATGCTTCGTATGCCATGTCCTCTGTTTTAAACAGGAGAGGCACCATCTGGCCTGTTATCAGCATACATTTGAAAAGACTGCCTCTCTGTTGCATTGGTGATTCTAGTATTGACAATTTATATATGAAAAAAGGTCCCATCCATCCATCCATCCATCCATCCATCCATCCATCCATCCATCCATCCATCCATCCATCCATCCATCCATCATTTTTTACCAGCTTCTTCCTTTTCAAGTCACAAGAATCACTGTCCAGTAGTCACTGTGCCAGAGGTGGAGGATACCCTGGACAAGTCTCCAGTCCATCACAGGAACACATAGACAAATGAGACAAAGAACCATTCACTCTTTCATTCATGCCAAGGGACAATTTAGAGTTACCAATCAGCCTAACATGCATGTTTTTTGGTCTGTGGGTTGAAACCGGAGTACCCCAAGAAAACCCACGCATGCACGAAGAGAACATGCAAACTCTACCCAAAATGGGACACAGGCCCAGACTCGATCCGACGACCATCTTGCTGAGAGGCGGCAGCTCTTCCAAACTGCGCCACCCTGCCAACCTAAAAATTACCGGTAAGTTCAAGGTTTTTTATTGTCATTCGCATCACATGTGGTACACGAGGTGGAGCAAAATTGTGTACTTGGGGTCCTAGTTACACCCAAAAAGAGCAAAAATATAAATATAATACAATATAGGTATAAAATGCCCCCCTCAATGCAAAAAACTTTGTATTCAGGTTTGAGAACATCAGCTGTCTTTCACTGTTTGAGTATTGGCTGCTTTTTTGTTGTTGTTCTAATTTGAAGGTCTTTGGACATTTAAAAAAAGTAAGCTTTTGTTAAGGTACTGGATTTTCAAACTGCTATCGTCAGGATTTTTTTTTTAAAGATTGAAATAAAGGTAAAAAGAAACAAATTGTATTCTTGTGACAGGCTGCTGGTATAAAACATCTAAAAATCACAAGATTTGCTCAGTTTTTCAATTTAGAAGTATTTTCACATCTGAATGATCCATAGGTCTGCGATAAGTGGAAAAAATGAAACAAACACAAATTAATGTCTAGTATTCCTTGGATAAAAACATTAAATGGCAGGGCCCCAAAGGAAACTAACATTTTGGCCTAAATTTTGGACATTGGAAGTTATTGGAGTTGCTTGGTCCCTCTTTAAATTTTAGTTTTTTCTTTACTCACTTCTGAACTGATGAAATCTGTTCTTTTGTAACTAGGTAAACACATGACTAGATTTTTTTTTTCCTTTTTCCAGTCTCTGTACAACTAACATATTTTTATTTTGCAAAATTCAGTTGTATATCAACTAAATGCATGCCTCTTTGTACACCTTTGTTAAACTGAAAGCTAAAAGACATTCATGTAAACCTGATTGTTTCACCTGGTAATGTAGTAAAGTTCCTCGCTAATAATCAGGACTTTTCCACTGTCCTGTACTCGTGTACCTTATCTCTTCGGTGCGGTGACCAGGATAGGCCTTCTGGAAGAGCCTCAAAGCCTGCATCACTGATGAGGTACACTCCACGAATGTATGGTCTATCATCGTGTCACCTATTGAAGACAGAAAACAGTGATATTATCCATCCATCAATCCATCTGTCATCTTCCGCTTGTTCTGAAGTCAGGTCTCAGGGGCAGAAGCTTGAACAGGGAGGCCAAGAATTCTCTTTCCACAGCCACCTCTTCCAGCTCTTTCGGGCGTACACCAAAGTGTTTCCAGGCCAACAGAGAGACGCAGTCTCTCCAGTGTGTCCTGGGTCTTCCCCGGGGTCTCCTCCTAGTCGGAAATGCCCGATGCACCTCCCTATGGAGACGCCCAAGGAGCATTCTTGCCAGATGCTCAAACCACCTCAGCTGGCTCCTCTCGATGTGGAGGAGCAGTGGTTCTACTCCGAGTCTCTCCTGGATAACTGAACTTCTCACGCTATCTCTAAGGGAGCGTCCAACTACATTGCGGAGGAAACTCATTTCAGTCATCTGTATTCATGACTCATTCTTTCAGTCACTACCCAGAGCTTGTGACCATAGGTGAGGGTAGGAACGTAGACTGACCGGTAAACAGCTCAGCTCCATCTTCACCACAACAGACTGGCACAGAGTCCTCAATATTGCAGACACTGCACCAATCTGTCTGTCAATCTCACGTTCCATTCTTTCCTCACTTGTCAGAATCAGAATCAACTTTATTGTCATTGCACAGTGAAGCACAGCAAAAATACATTCCAGTGCAGCCATCCAACAAGGGTAGACGGAAGTGCATGGAGGCTGCAGCTTTGTGTGAAGCGCTGTCCTTATCATTTAGATAAGAAAAGGGAATAAAACATTAGGAAAGAAGGTATTAAAAAATATCTCTCACAATGTGTCCTTGACACACACGGCACAATGTAAGGTGACAAAGAAACTACCACAGCACAAAGGAACATAGATAAATATACAGTAATACATTTTGCAGGGTGGAAGGAAGCCAACAAAGGCAGTGAGATTGTCCGTGAACACAACCAGAAGGTTCCATAGTCCTGATAAAGATGGCACAATGTCTATCAGTCGATTCAGCTCTGATAAGGGACAACAGATGTTCTCGGGGGGCAGGGAGTGGGGGGCAGAGCAGCAGAGCTTCATGATTTACATATCCTACAGGAGTAATTTGAGATAAGTTGGCCTATCCAAGGCCAAATGGGAGAGTCAGTTTCAGATAAACAACAATTGTTTTGAGACAGGCCGACAACTGATTTCCTTTCTGTGTTCATAGTTTCTGTTGGTACACTCAATGGCGAATCCAAACAACCAGATTCATGGTCAATCCGCCGGTCCATGCTTGTAGCCTTCTCCAAGGTTGATTCCTTCATGCCAGCGAGTTCTAGGAGTCGCAAGTGTCCTGCGATTCTCAGAAATCATATCCAGCTTATGGTTTAGCTCACAAAGCATCTGAGTCTGAGCGCTCAAAGCACGGTGTAATCCTTCATATAAGGCAGGTAGCCTCACCATTGTCAAAACTGTTGCCAACGTTTTCGTAATTTGCCGATATCCCAGGTACCCACCGATTCCAAAAAACAGAAACCCTGTTATCATAAATCCAATTATGTATACGTCTTCAACTTCCTGAATGGGCAATACAGACAGGCACACCATCTTCCATTCACCCCAGGAATTCCATGATATATCCAGCTGTGTGTGTGTCCCTTCAGGTGCATCTGGGTTCTCCTTCATCCCGTCTTCTCATCAAGAAAATTTTATCAATTGCATTGATAGACCAGCTGACCAGATACATAATAATTTATGATTCAGAAGATGTGTAAAGAGAGGGTCTGAGATTCACAGGATAAGAGCAAAAACAGGAGGGAGATAGGAGTGGGAAATAATGTGTCCATCTTTGTTGAGAGCAAGTAAAAAAAAAAAGAGAGAACAAAACTCCAAGATACTTGAACTCCTCCACTTGAGGCAGAACCTCACCCTTGACCCATAGAGAGCAATCCATCCTTTACTGACTGAGGACCACGGCCTCAGATTTGGAGGTGCTGATTTTCATTCTCACAATGGTAGCAGTAAATAAATTTTCCATTTTAACCCAGCATTTTGAACATGATAATACTGCAGTTTATTGACATAAAAAAAAAAGAATGTCATGTTTAAAAAAAAAAAAAAGTTGTGGTTTAGGACTAAACCTCACAGTGA